TAGCCCAGGCTGGCCACAGATTTGCAGTGATCCTTCTGCCTCAGCCTCCTGAGCGCTGAGATTATTAGCCTGTGACATCACACCCAGCTGTTTCAACGTTTTGTGTTTACTTTTCTCTGGAAAATGCTGGCAAAAATGGAAAATAAAATATTTTAAAGCTTATTTTATGCTTGTTTCCTTTCTTTGTTCTTCCTTTTTCCCACCTAGTCTCCTTCAGGGTCATTCTCCCACATTTTTCTTATAATTTACACTGTCCCAGAAATCAGGACAGCATGATCAAGAATGAATATTATATACCTATTATCACCTTTTTATCTGTTCCCCGAAGCACTTTATGTATGATGGTTTGTGTTTAATAAAGGGACTAGTAGCATATGGATATACATGTGTTTTGCCAGTTGAATACATTATAAATTCTCTTTTGGAATAGCTTTGTAACCATTTTACTGAATCCTCAATCCTGTTAAGCAATCCACATAGGTAAAAACAGTTCCTTGCTTTCTCTCATTCATTCTTTTTAAAAAGATGACTAGGAGCATGGAAATGGGATTACTTTCAGCATGGAACTTTTCTTTTTGTAAAGTTATGTTTGAATTTATTTGAAAATGATCTTTAAATTTGTATTTGAGTAAGGGCGAGTCTTACTGATACACTGGGGTGATATAAGAGATGAAGTGGGACCTCCAAATGATATAAGGGAAATTTTATAATTCTCAACCTGTTAGATGTCTGATATGCCAAGTACATGTTCTCTAAAAATCAAAGAATGAATTCTAGGAACAGTGGAGGCTAAATATAATAAATATTTATTGAGGAAAAAGATAAGTCAAATAGGTAGCCAAAGACCCCACTTCATAGGGAAGTTTGATAGAGCAAAAACCACTGGGTACAAGGTTATAAGTATAGTTACTTAGGTACTAGTTATCCAAAGGGAAAACAAGTCACATAATAAGTGTTCATTGAAAAAGCAGACCTTTTCTAGGAATTGATGGGTCCTTGATTACCCACCAGGATGACTGATACCTGTCTAGACTTCATTAGTCCAGATGTTACTGCTTATCTTATCCTTTGGGGAAGTATGCAGGCCTGGTCCTTTGGTCTTTATTCTAAGGTCCAGTCTCCAACAGTAATTTGTTTTATCTCTGTCCTGACTGGTCTATCCCTATCTGACTGCCTCTAATTCACCCTAACTTAGCTGTCTGTATTATCACACTGTTACCTTTGTTGGGAGGGGTTGTCATACTGCTAATTTTGGCTACTAATGATATTTTCTTGGTCCTATTCATGAACTCTTTCATGACTAATAATATTGTGTTTAAAATAATTATTTGTGAATAATTTCTTGTAAGTTTTTTGGTTTTTTTGGTCATTAGAGAATCAGTTGTGAGATAAGAAAGGAGAAAATAATAGCTAATGCCTTTTTCATCCTGTAGGTTTGCTTTAATGACTTGTATCACTCATAACCATGATATGGTAACCTTTTCATTATATATTCTTCTGGTACTCTTTAAAATTTTGTTTGTGTTGTTTATTTAATGTATTCTGTTATTCAGGAATGTTTTTCTTACATATACCTCCCATTTATCTCTGATTTGAAGTTAGTTAGAATTCTTATTTCTCATTTCTACTTTAGATCATTGTTCATTTCATTTTCCTAAATGTTTCATCAGATTGTATCACTACCAACCTCCCTTTTGTTAACTTGTTTCTTCATCATTTGTTTTGGTGGCTTACTCAACATTGCTTCTCCTTCTTTTCAGGCTTAACTCCTTTCTTAGGGGGTTTATGACTGCCCCCCCCCTTTTTGGTACTGGGGATTGAACTCGGGTCATTGCGTTTGCAAGGCAGGCCGCCGAACTGCTGAGCTAAATCCCTGGCCCTATGACTGCCTTATACCCAGGAACCTTATGGCAGAACTAGATTTTAGAGTAATACCTCCCAGCTCTGTGAACCTGTGAGAGATTTTAGAACTAAGGACCATGCTAACATACTTGACCTCCACCCTAGCTGTAAGGCTGTGTCTTCCAAAGGAGCCATAGCTGCCTTTTTCAGTCTCTTTTTGTGAGAGGGATAATCTAACTCAGGGACTTAATAACCTTACTCTAGTTTCCTCAGCTACACTGGATAATAGTCTGACTTGTCTGGAGCATATAAATTCTGCTGCTCTATGAATTGATAACCCGTCAAACCCATGGCTTTAGCCCATGAATTTACTTAAATTTTTGTTCCCTTTTTGATTTATAGTATTATATGACTGATTCTCAGATTGATAGTTTGCAGCAGTCTTTTTTACCCACTTAGACTTTATTTGCAAATCTGAAGAGCTTAACTATAGCTGAGGTTGACATCATTTGTGTCTTTCACATTTGTGTGTTCACAAGTTTAAATACCAGGACTCTTTTCCTTGGCCACCCTGACTGATTCACTTAGAAATCAAAAGTGGTCTCTCACCATAAGATTTAAGTTTTGAAGTATAAGCAGGGATTTTTTTTTTTCATTTTTCACCTTAGTAATCAGATGAGATAAGCTTTTTTTTTTATTACTATGTCTTTTAATCTTTTCAAAAAGTGTTTACATTTATTTTCAGTAATACTACTCTCTCATTCGGATTGTTTACCTTTTGTGGGTTGGGGGGGGCACTGAAGAAACCCACAGCCAGGCCAGGGGGATTTGGCTCAGTGGTTCTAACACCTGCCTGAGTTCAATCCCCGGTACCAAAAGAAAAAATCTATGGCAAGAAACCTACAACTTTCACTCTTTCAGAGTTTTTATTAGTACATGTTTGCAGTGATTAGTGATTACATTTATTGGAGTTGGTGCATGTACACAATATGTCTTAATTCTTTTTATGTCCCCTCCCTCTCCTTTCTAGTATTTCTTTTGTACTGGGGATTGAACTCAGGCCCTTGTTCCTGTGAGGCAGGCTGAGCTAAATTCCTGGCCCTCCTTTCTAGTAGTTCTTTGTTTTGTTTTGTTTTTTGGTGCCAGGGATCGAACTTGGGTCCTTATGCTTGCGAGGCAGGCAGTGGAACCACTGAGCTAAATGCGCGGCCCTTTTCTAGTATTTCTTATGCTGTATTATATAGTATAATCATTTTAAAGGGAATTGGCCAGAAAGTACATGGACACAGGTAAATATCCTTTTGAAAAGATCAGTTATAACTGAGTTTAGAGCTAGTAACTATGTTACTAGTTGGTTTAGCTAACACATAAGGACACTTTGTCATACCAAAGTTGAAAAGTAAAGTGAAGGAGGAGGAATTCGAATAAGATGAACAATAGATGCTGTGGCAGAGATTCTTAGCAGCAAGTCATGTATTCCCTTTAATACTAGAAAAGCCAAGAAAAATGAAAAAAAAAGATGCTAAAAAAAAAGATCCTAAAATTTGAGGAGATACATTGTCAAGATAAACAGCTTTTAATGCTGTAATTTAATTCTCCAGTAGGTTTTAATGCATCTTTTTATGATTAAAGAATTAATTTTATAAAGTTGACACTCAGAGCCAGACATGGTAGCACATGCCTATGATCCAACCACAGGCATTGTGAGGCAGGATTATCACAAGTTTGAGCCCAGCTTGGATAACTTAATGCTGCAGCAAGATCCTTTGTCAAAAATAAAAGAAAGGCTGGGAATGTAACTCAGTACAAATATCCTAGGTTCAATCTCCAGCACTGCCCCAAAAAGAAAAGTTGATAACCGGAAGAAGGTTTAAACTACGGTTACTATACAAGGAAGAAGATAACAATTTCAAAAATAGTTACAGGATAAAGACCACATTGCTTGGATTATCTTCACTTGTCTGGAATCCTCCCTTATTTATAACACCCTTTTCCAACTTATCACAGAAGTACTGTCATTTCTGTACTTCAGTGTGTGTTTACTCAGCAGAAGTACTACACATAAGGATCTTTTATTTACCATTAGTAGTTTCTAGTTGTTAGTGACTAAAGCTTGAAAGTAAAGCAATCTGAATCATTTTTGCTTTAAAGTGTAATAATATATAGAGCTGGGTGTAGTGGTACATGCCTGTAGTGCAAAAAGGGCTTGGGATGTTGCTCAGTGTGAAGACAAAAAGACAAACAGAAAACAGTAGAGCCATATGCATCAGTACCTGCCTGTAGTCTCATGCTGAGGCGGGAGGATTGCTTGAATTCAGGAGTTTGAGGTTATCCTGGCCACTCTTTAAATAAGTAAAATGGAGGAAGATCAAAACAAAATTGTTTCTGTTTATGGCAGTCTTTGCAAGTAATAATCTAGCTCAAGTCATTATCCTCTTCTATAGTTTTTCTTCATCTTTTAACTGTGGTTCATTTGTTCCTGGTATTTTTCATTTATTAATATGATTTTTGTTGTTGTTTTAATGGCTGTTATTTTGTTACCATGGTCCATTTATATTTTCTGCAATGAGGTAATCACTATGCTGCCTTAGACACTTTATTAATATTAAGAGTTGGGAAAACTTAATTATATTATTAGTTGATAGTAATGTACTTAAGTTTTAGAATGTTGTACTCCCGGGCTAGGGATGTAACTCAGGGTATAGCATTTGCCTAGCATGATTGAGGTCCTGGGTTTCATAGCCAGTACCCTACCCCTCAAAAAAGTTCCCTGATGTCTCACACTAAATATTTGATTGAGGTGACAGAAAGTTTTGGTGAGGTAAAAGAATACTGGATAATGATACTAAACATGATAACTACATAAAATTTTATCTTCATGTATCTCAAATATAGTTTCGAATAACCTTTATAACATTTTTTAATATAAATGCATTTTTCTGTAACATTTGTTAACCTTCATGAGAGTGGATTCTAAATATATTCTTTTTTTTTTTTTTTCCAGCTTTAATTGAGTTTATTGGTACATTTTAGGGATACAGTACAGTTACATTCATTGTTGGGATCTTGTACCTCTACATGACAAGTCTTGATTAAATATATTCTTGATCATAACTGAAACATTTCTTATAACTTTGTTTTATAATTTTTCTTTGTAGAGTGTTTCTCCATCCCAGAGAGATGAAGTAATTCAGTGGCTGGCCAAACTCAAGTACCAATTCAACCTTTACCCAGAAACATTTGCTCTGGCTAGCAGTCTTTTGGACAGGTTTTTAGCTACTGTAAAGGTAAATATTTAAAAATACACTTACATATGACTCTCAGTTTGGGGATTTATATGTTAAACTAAAGGCTTTCACATTGTAGTAGTTGAACTAAGTAAAATCTCTACATTTAAAAAAGATGAAGTGTTTAGTAAAGTGGTATAAGGTAGAAAGAAATAGAAAACTTTCCTACAGAATGATATATGTACTCAAATGAAGGCATAGTATCTACCATTTAAAATTTTTTGTTTGTGATTCTATAACTTTCTTTTTGCAACAAGTACTCTTAACTTACATTTATATATTGTTTCTATTACAAACCATGTATCGTTGGTAGACTAGGCAACTCTTTGGTGTACTAAAGAAGTTGGTAGTGAATCAAAAAAGTAAATGCCTTTTTTGGATTTTTCTGTTGCTTGTTTATTGACTATATATATTGTAATTTTTCTGGACCATATGTACATACTTTGCAGGGCCATATTTTGGGATGTAAAGGTGTCAAAACAATCTTGGAGCTGGACATGGTGGCGCACACCTGTAGTCCTAGTACTTGGGAGACTGATGCAGGAGAATTGCCATGAGTTCAAGGCCAGTCTGAACTACATAGTGAGACCCTGTCTCAAAAAACCAAATAAAGAAATTTGGTATTTTTTATTAATGGCAGCATATAAATATATATTTTTATGTAATCAGGTTTTATATTGTCATTGTTTTATGTCATTGGCTCTATTATGTCATAGTAGACTCTTGACAGATATAAAGCCAAAACTCAGCATTTAATAGCAAAGCATGAAAGTAAAAAAGCAGTTCATTCATGTGCCTAGTAATGTATAAACTAAATTAAATGCAGTGTTACTAGGTGTTATAGTTTGCATCTAGATGTCCCTTCAAAGCCGCATATGCTCATAGGGGTGGGGCTTTTGGTAGGTGCCTGGATCATGGATGTGTGATAACTGAATTAGTCCACTGATTGGTTTGCCTAGTTCCGGGTTTGGATAATGAGAAGGCCCATCCTGGGTGTGGATGGAACCAATCATTAGGCTTGTAGCCTGAATGGAATAAAAAGGGAAAGGAAGGCTTGCTGCTTAGCTGCCCCCTGCCTGCATACTATGAACTGTTTCTCCTTTGCCATGCACCACTGCCTTTCCTACTTTAACTTATGGATGTCAAGTATTATGTCCCAGCAACAAGAAAGTGAGATACTAGTTATGAAAAGGAAAGCCAAAGAGTATGGCGTGTAAGAATTTGAATAGCCATTCAGTTATTATTTTGTTTCAGACTTCCACTCCTCAGAGACTTAAAGAAGCCTTAATTATAATGATGCTAATTACTTGAAATCTGGGTAATCTGAAAACTGTACTTGTAACACCATCTTCTTCCCTTTTCACAAATATCTCCATAGGAAGGTGTGTTTAAGTATAGTGGTCATGCTTGGGTTATACATTTTTTTAGAAATTATTAATGAGCTAATGAGTCTTCTATCATAAAAGAAATACTTTCTGTACTTATTAAACATTTTAACTATATTTAGGGAAATTTTGGAAATAATTTTACACTTGATCTTAGCCAAAAGGATGAGAAGCAATAGAAATAATTTTAAAACTGTCTAGAATGTATTTTAAATAAAAGCACTTAAAGCAAAACAAAACAAACAGCTGCAACAGTGAATGGAGTCTCTGGAGCCTCAATCCTATAGAAGTAACTATGAAGTGCTTAAAAAATGAGGAGCCTAGGGATGCAGCTCAGTGGTAGAGTGCTTTCCTAGGATGGATGAGGCCTGGCTTCAATCTCAGGCACCACAAAAAATAAAAATAAGGAACCCAGGCATGTTACTCAGTGGTAGAGTGTTTGCTTAGTATGCACAGGCCCTGGGTTTAATTTTTATTTACTTTTTTTTCCCCATTAAGTTTATTGGTATATTTAACTCAAAAAGTACAGTTACATTTATCACTGGGATCTTGTACCTTTACATGATGTTTTGGTTCTTATTTTTTCCCCATACCCCTGCCATCCCTTCACACCCTTCACCCTTCCCCTGGGTTTAATTTTTAAAAACAACAACAAAGGACATGAATCCAGTTATCTAGTGGATGAGATACTGGTTATCTGTATTTAAGGAAAATACAAGTACAGATGAATCTTAATATGCAACCAGATTCAAGAACTCTGCTGTTTGTGGGCGGGGGATTTAGCTTAGTGGTTCTGCTGATTGCCTTAAAGTACAAGGGCCCAAGTTTGATCCCTGGCACCCACCCCACCCCCAAAATTGTTTGCTTTTTAAATTACACATTTGCTATTGGATTCTACTTATTACTACATTTTTTTTTGCTGTGTGATTTTTTTTTGGGGGGGTGGGTTTTTTTGAGACGGTTTCACTATGTAGTTCATGCTGGCCTTGAACTATGTAGCCCAGGTGATCCTCCTTTCCCAGTCTCCTCCATGCTGAAATCATAGGTATTGCTGCAGCACCTGCCCTATTACAAAATTTTCTTATTGGTACCTTGATTTAGAGATTCTATTGCTCACCCAAAGTTGCTTACTGTTCTTTTCTTTGTGTAAAGATTACCTCATAGATGTAAGGTTTTATATTTTACATACATGGAGAAATAAAGGATCCTGGAAAACTGTCTTAGTAGCAAAACATGAGTTTATTTTCTAGAACAGCTGTGTTGGCTCCCTTGGCCTCTGAGACTGTTTTCTCACCTATAGGAGGAAGTTATAATAGACATTCTGTTTTGAAAGTGCTTTTTTAACTTGATTGATGTTTTTTGACTTGAGCTTTGATGATAAAAATACTATATTTTTGGGGTGGTATCACGGAATCACACTCAGGGCCTTGCTCTTGCAATGCAGACACAGTACCACTGAGCTAAATTTCTGGCCCCAAAAATATTGTTAGTATTGAAACAACTTTTATTTCTCATGTGAGCACAGGATTGAAATTTCGATTCCTGGACTGTAAGCCACTTCCGCAGAGATTGCAGTCATTGGCATTTTTGTTACTTAAGTATAAATGTTGAAACAGGTTTTCCTGCTTGTGTATTGTATATCTGTTATCTAAATTATATCTGTGTTGTTGAATTTAATTGGACTGAATTGTTTTTTACACTGGTATTGCACTGGTAAGTACCTTGAAAGTGAGTCTGCCTTATAATAAGAAACAGGTCAAATTCAACTTATCTTGTGTTTGTCAAACTGAGAGAAATTGGTTTTTTAGCCACTGAATTGGGAACATTCCCCCCCCCCCCGAGGATTGAACTCAGGATCTTAGGTTTTGCCAGGGTATTTTTGTTCTTATTATGGAATTTGAATATGGGGGTGTGTGTGTGTGAATTTTGTTTTCTTTTGTGCTAGCATTATGTGATTATTTTAAAAAAGCATTTGCAGTGTACTAATACTCTTTTACATTTCCTTTTTCTCTTTAACTTCCTTGACACTAGTGTATTACTGATATTTTGTTAGAGAATAAAACTAGCTTTAAGAAAATATATATATGGCAAAAGGATTGCTGTGAGTTCGATACCAGCCTGGGCTACATAGTGAGTTCCAGGTCAGTCTCAACTACATAATGAGACCCTGTCTCAAAAAAAAAAAAGAAAGAAAGAAAGAAAGGAAAAAGAAAAAAATATATATATACACACATAAAAATATACTTTTAAAATTTGCTAACATTTATTAACTGGAGTCTTACCATTACAGTTAGGCTTTGCTCTGCTGAATAGAATTCTAGCTTTGTCTAACTGACTTAGGAAGCGTGGATACCCCATGGCTAGGGTTGTGATGTTAATGTTAGCTCTCATCTAGAAAGGAATCAAATTGAATTCTATAGAATTGTCTGCATACTTGTCTCATTCACATAGTTTTAAAATGTTAATAAGCTCTTTTAAAAAATCACTAAAGTTGCTTTTTACCTTTTAAACTTTTAGGCCCACCCAAAATACTTGAGTTGTATTGCAATTAGCTGCTTTTTCCTAGCTGCCAAGACTGTTGAAGAGGATGAGGTAATCCTTTCATGATTGTTTTTTCTGAAAATTTCATTTTTTAAGTTAAGTTGCTATTTGCCAAAACAAAAATTTTTAATGTCTTTCCTATTCCTGTTTGCCTTTTCTCTGGATAGAAAATTCCAGTACTGAAAGTATTGGCAAGAGACAGTTTCTGTGGATGCTCCTCTTCTGAAATTTTGAGAATGGAGAGAATTATTTTGGATAAGTTGAATTGGGATCTTCACACAGCAACACCATTGGATTTTCTTCACATCGTAAATATACCCAAATAGTTTTTTGTTTTGTTTTGTTTTTTTTTTGTTTTGTTTTTTGAGGCTGAGTCTCACTATGTAGTTGAGACTGACCTGGAACTCACTATGTAGCCCAGGCTGGTCTTGAACTCAAAGTGATCCTCCTGCCTCAGCCTCCCGAGTGCTGGGATTACAGGCATGCACCACCACCAAACTGTTTCTTATTTGAATATGTAGACCTAATTTAGTAACTTAAAAAATTAGAGATATATGTCTAACCACTGAATTAATAATTTAGAAACTTAGGAATTGACAAACTTAGAAATTAGTACCTGAAGAGGTCATGTTAATTTCTATGTATAATTTCTTACACATTTTATGTAAAATGGGAATGATATTCTTGTGATTTTTTTTTCCCCCACCCCACCAGTTCCACGCCATTGCAGTGTCAACTAGGCCTCAGTTACTTTTCAGTTTGCCCAAATTGAGCCCATCTCAACATTTGGCAGTCCTTACCAAACAGCTACTTCACTGTATGGCCTGCAACCAACTTCTGCAATTCAAAGGATCCATGCTTGCTCTGGCCATGGTTAGCTTGGAAATGGAGAAACTCATTCCTGATTGGCTTCCTCTTACAATTGAACTGCTCCAGAAAGCACAGGTAAGTGTTAGTCTGATTAGTACCCATTTTAGGTTTTTCTCATTGGCATATATAGGGTTACCAGATGGTTATAAAACTGAGACATTTCTAATCTTAGAGTGAGTAAAGTGTCAGATACTTTTAAACTTGTGGGCTAGATTATAAAATTTTCAACTCTTCCAGATAAAGAATTTAGCAAAGATTATCAATATATTCTCCCTGGTTTTAAATAGAGAAACATTTAGCTGTAGGGTTCATGTAGTACTTTTCAACTTCACTCAGTTTATAAAGATAGCAAAAATTAATCCACAAAAAGTTGCTTTTAGACAAATAATTTATTTTTGACTAGGAAATGAAGTATTTGTACCAGACTTCGGCAGGTGGAAGCTACTTTTCGATACATTATCAATCACCCAAATGCAATATAAAGGTTTAGTGGAGAAAATTCTCATTGAAATGTAATTGTGCTGTATGTTAGCAGCAATTTGAGAAGTCTTAACGGTTGGTTCTGTTCATGCCCAAATAGAATTCATCAAGTTCAGATTTGTTGCAAACTATACTCCTCTACCAGCTGTGTCCACAAAAGACTCATGAACCTTTCACTTTGTATGGCTCTAGCAGTAGATAGTCTGATTTTGTTTATTGGCTATTACTTAGAAGACTATTACATTTCTGAGCTTCACACATTTTGCAATATAACTACAATGGTACTGTGTAGAAGGTAATAATTGTATAGTAAAATATACAATAAAAGAAAGTAATATTTGAAATTTTTATTTGTTAAAATGGTCTTACAAGCTGTAAAGGTTAGGCACACACTGGGAAGTAACTGAGGACTCTTTCTTGGCTTTTGAGAATTTCAGGCCCTACTTTGAAAGAAGAGAGGAGCTGAGTCCTTTCATGAAAGGGATTATGATCAGAGCATTATTAGCCACACCTCTTCCTATGTAACAAGTTGTTTTCCTTTATAAGGGAGATATAGTTTTAAAAATAAATGCCAGGCTATCTTGACTCTTCATGTAGCCCATCCTGTGCCTCCCAAGTCATTGGGTGTACATTTAATTTTGCTTTTATCCTTTCCTTTTGTTCGGCTATTTGCTCTGCAGAGCCAGTTTCTTCCATACCCATGTGCCATTCACTTTTCAAATAAACTTTTGGCACTATTATAAAAATAATAGTTTATTCTAGATATACTTAGAAGTTATTTGGTGCTTTTGCACTGTTATAAAAATAAGTTTATCTTAGATATACTTAGAAGTTACTTGGTGCTTTCATTGAATTAAGTATTATAGTGAAATTAAACCCTAGAAGAAAGTTGTTACTTAGCAAATGTTTTTAGAAACGACTACAAGCCACCATGTAAATGAATAGTGTGACACAGAAAACTTAATTTTGTGAATATTAACCCTCTACATTAGATTATGAAGCAAGGGATACATATATTAATAGAAAAGGTCTATTACATTCTTTTTTATTGGAATAAATGACTGACTTTTAAATGACTCATGACTTGGCCTCTGTCTACTCCCAAAGTAGACAGAAAAAGAAATTTTTGTATATAAAGTGTTAGTGTCACAAAGGACAGATTTTGAAGCATAGTTAAGAATATTATAAGCAGCAATAAGTATTCTATAGCTTTGAGAGCTTGTTCTCTGTTGAACACTGGAAAATCTGCAAATTCCCTTTTGTGTTTTCTAGTGCTAGAAGAAAAAATATTTATTGAAACTTGTTTTCCCCTTAATTGAAAGAGTATTATGAACTTGAGATTCGACAGGATTTTCTTAGAAGTCATTTCATTCACTCATTTATTTTATAGTTCTATTTCAGGGAACTTCCTTAGAGCCACATAGAAATACTTAGTTGTGAAAAAGACTAAGACAACCAGGGTTTTTCAGTACCACAGAACTATAAAGATTCTAGTCCAGTGTTGCGTTGTTCAGTTTCTTTTAGAAGGGGAGTCCTTTCCCTGCCCCCCCCCAGTATTGTCTATGCAACTCCAGGATACAAAGGGCTATCCTTTGTAGTGTATTTCAGGGCAGAGATCTGTTGGATTGCAGAGTCCTACTCAGCAGAATCTTCTTCCTTCTATAGACTGGGCATTGTTTGAACGTTCTGTCCCATATTAATAGTTTTTTCACAAATATTTTTTGAAAAATCTGCGCTCTTCCCCTTGGAATAGTGATTTTTTTAAAAAAAAGTCTAATGGGGAGGAGGATAGTGAGTAAAAATAAAGTCATAAAACTTGGTAGACTACGGGACTTGGTGTAGCAGTTCGTCTCTAAAACTAAGTTGGGCTGACGACCAAATCTTTTGGCCCAAACACAGAAAGTTCTGGGGTTCTTTTGGACTCGGTTATGTCTTTGTTCATCTGTGTTCAGGTTGGAGAGGAGGTTCTAGTGTCTTTGTAATTAGACCTGTGATTAGGTGAGGCCTAAATTTCTGGTTCTAGTATAGGAAATTCTGGCATCAGACTGGTGAGATCATGCCTTCCCAGCATTACATTTTTTCAGTCTTTTGGTGGTGCCAGGGATTGAACCCAGAATCTTAACACATGGTTAGAATGTGTTTCTGCCATTGAGCTGCACCCTCAGACCAGTGCCAGTATTACTTTTGCTGTGATTCCTAGTGTCTCGGTTTGAGGAAGGGTCCTGTAGACGTTTTGTGCTGTGATGAGGCCACTATCACTAGCTCTTTTTGTGCCCCCTCTGGACTCGGGACATAGTAGGGTGAATAGTCTTCACTGGAAAGACAAGCCTCCTCTTGTCCCTTCCTAGTCTTTCCCCCATATGTCCTCCCTTTGCAAGCTTTGTGCTACCTTTTGGCTAACTAAACCTGTTTCTCTTACCCCTTCTTTTACCCTTGCTCTACTTGTATGGCTACACTCACGTCCTCCTTACTGTTGTGTCCCACCCCGATAATCTCAGGGTGTTAACTCTACTTAGATTAGTGTGGTGGTTTCCCTAGTTTCTAGCCAATAGTAATCAAAGTATATGGTCTAGTTTAAAAGTAAAGTTGGTAGTTAAAAAGCAGGCCCTTCCCACCAGGGTGTCCTAGTTCGTCCTGAGGTACCTAACATCAAACTATTCTGACACATATTCTCAGTGCTTTATGATGCCCACCAAACCTGGGTCCATCTTCTTTTGTTTTTCTAGCAAAAGTTACTTAGAATAATCACCATATTCAAATCGAAGAGACTCATTAAAATTAATAATAAAGGTTCTTTTGACAATTGTAACTGAAAAAAATCATTAAATGCTTTTAATAGATCAGAGGACTTCTCTGGCATCTAGAGTTATAATTCCAGTTTATTGTACTTGTTTTGTTTCTCTCACAAATTCAGATAATTTTACTATGGTGTATTATTTTGGACAAAGGACTGCCTGCCTTGAGATTTTGGTAGAGTTCATAGAGATAGTGTAGGTTCAGGTAACTTCTGTTATCCTTTCTAGCTTACTCTTCCAGACTTCACCTCTAAAAAATAATCTCATGGGGATTATTTTGCACACAGAAAAGGTACACATATTTTTCATCATTCTGTTAACAGTGTTATTCCTATGCCCAGTGTTCAAAGTGTTTAGTTGCTAAAGAGTAGTTCACTAAAGGAGGAACTTTTTAGAAATACTGTATCCTTCTTTTCACTGCCAAACCTGTTCTCTTTTGTAGGCTGCTTCTCTGCTTTGTTCCTTGGGTCAGCTTGTTCTGTGTTTCTGGGGTATAATACCTAGCCTGTGGTAGTAAGCTTGGTACTTAAGAGACTATCTTTAAGTATTTCATAAAATTTTAAGGAAAAAAATTTAAGGGAAAAATTCCACTAGTAGTTAATGACTTGCCTGTTGTGTTGTCATAGTAGAAAAGTCAGAACAAAATGGTTGATACTAAAATCTGCCCTTTCCATATATTATTTGACAATACGACTATGACTAAGACCAGCCTTTTCACTTTATCTACAGTTTAGCATATGACTATATTTAGACAAAATTAATTTTTTGACCAAGTGTGTTCTCATAGAGTATGTTCCTTTCTTTTCTGTGTCATATCACAGTCATGCTGTGTACTGCAGGTTACATAGGATGAATAAGATTTGGTTAAGAAATGTCCATAATATAAAATCCACCAAACTGGAAAAAAGCGATCCCTGGTGGTTAAATGACCAAGATAAGCTTCCTGGAGGTAATAGCATTTAGCCAAGCCTGAAGGGAATGAATGGTCAAAACAATCTCAGCAGGTAGAATCAGGATGAGCAAGAGTAAAGAAAGGAAAAAATTTGTGCAAAAACTGATCAGAATTGTTTGGCAGGAATATAGAGCATTAACTTTGAAGGGTATGCTAGGAAATAGGGCTGAAAAAGTTGAGGTCAGATTACAGTGCCTTCTTAAAACAAAACTGAGGTTAGCTTATGGAGACCCATCTTTAAAAAAAAATTCAATGCGAAGGCCATGGATTCAGTCCCCAGTACTGAAAAGAAAGAAAAGAATCAAATTTAAGTAAAGGAGAAATACAGGATTCTGTAGATGATTTTTGACAGGGCTGTCAGGGAAAGTAAGGCAGCGACCCTTAAAATGTATAATGGAGACCCTAGATGGTTCAGTTTAGATTATATCAAAAAAACTGGGAACAAATGTGGACGTTGGGTGGTTGGAGAAGTCAAATGTGATTCCTGATAGGATCGACAGATACCCAAGCTATCCTGAAGGATGAGGAGGAATGGGCAGAGGTTCCATATTAAGCAAGTATGTTAAAAACATTTCTTCCTAGTGGTGTTCTTCCTAGTCTTATTACTGTTTGCTATAAAACTATAAACCTGTCTACAGTTCTCATTTTTCCTTGCTTCTGGCTTCTTAAATTCTTCATGAATTTTATATTTATCTTTTCTTTGGTCTTCACTGAAGAAATTAAAAGAGGCAAAGAGGTGGGATGAAAGGCCTTGTAGAGAGGATGAACTGGGGAGAAAAGCAGGCGGTGGTTTTATAGTGGTGAGGAGTTTGTTCTTTAAATATCCAGTATACAGTGACAAATAACAGTTCAAGTTGCAGAGAGATTATGGATTTGGACATAATCTAAGATAGTTAAGATGCTGGAATCAGTGGATTTGTGGTAGAAGATGTGGAGAGAACACTGAAGGATCAGAGAGGCAACAGGAGGAAAAGTACCTAGCAGAGTGGGCAGAGCAGCCTTCATTAATTAATGATCAACATTGTGATGTGTTTTCTCCCTGGTCCAGATGGATAGCTCCCAGTTGATCCACTGTCGGGAGCTGGTGGCACATCACCTTTCTGCTCTGCAGTCTTCCTTGCCTCTAAATTCCGTTTATGTCTACCGCCCCCTCAAGCACACCCTGGTGACCTGTGACAAAGGAGCGTTCAGATTACATCCCTCCTTTGTCTCAGGCCCAGATTTCTCCAAGGACAACAGCAAGCCAGAAGTGCCAGTCAGAGGTTCGGCAGCTTTCTACCCTCATCTCCCAGCTGCCAGTGGGTGCAAGCACACCTCTGCTAAACGCAAAGTGGAGGAAATGGAAGTGGATGACTTCTATGATGGAATCAAGCGACTCTATAATGAAGATAATGCTGCCGAAAATGTGGCTTCTGTGTGTAGCACTGATTTATCAAGACAAGAGGGACATGCTTCCCCTTGTCCACCTTTGCAGCCTGTTTCTGTCATGTAGTTGCAACATGTGTTACCTTCTAGTGCAAACTAAGGTTGGCTACTTTGGGAACAACCTGTAAAACTAGGAAAAGCTATGGAGGGATATATACTTTGTCAGGCTGATTTGAATTGAGTCAGGAAAAAAAAAATAACATTTACTTGTGCATTTAATTATAATTCTGCATTGTTTAAAGGCCAAAAACATTTTTAAAAGGTAAATTTCTTTGTCACTTCTCTTTTCTTTGCTAAAATGTAGCTTGCCCCATATCAAGAAATTACAGTATTTGGAAAAAAAATTCCAAAGTGCACTGTTATGAACTCTTCCCCCAGGACCCTGATTTCTTTTCCTCTTGCTTGCTTCATTACTTCATACATAGTATGCATGTTGATCTTTGTTCTGACTTCCACTGAATAGGAACCCCCCACAAGTTTGTTTTTATTCAATTCATGGTTTAGATTCCAGTTAGTGTGGAAAGTGTACTTTGGAATTGTCCAGATGAGTCAAGAGGTGGTAATAGACAAAGTTCTCACATTACCACATTGATTGTTTCTCATTCCAATTTTTAAGAGTTTAAAAACAAAAATATGGCTTTATCTAAAACTTTAAAATGGCTTGTAACTAGAACACTTAAGATTTGTTGAAAGCGTTTTTGACATTTGTATAAAAGAATTTGTGACAAAATTAATATCCAGGTGCTTACCAAAGAAAACGAACATGTAACATCATTAGATTTTTGTAACGGATCTGTTTCCACTCATTTGTAATCAGTAGCAATCTGTCTAGATGTTGGGGCAGCTCTATGATTTGAGTCTGTTGTAATTCAGAACCCTCATTTTATGTTAGGCTTGTTAGGATTTTCTGATGAAAATTTTCCCCTATCTCACAACCTGCCTGTATTTCCCTTAGTGATGTGGTCCTGAGCTCCCTTTGCAGTCTGAAGGTGTTGCAGTCAGAACCATGTACTGATTGATGATAAAAAGCCTCTGGGTAGCAATAAAAAGTTGTCCTTAACTTTTTGTGTCTGTTACTTTTTTTCTGCGTGTGAAAAGGTATTGGTTCCTGATTTCTAGGCACAGAAGTGTGATGAGGGGGTGGTAGGTTAGGGCATAAGAATGCCATCAAAATATTTTCTCACTTTGGGGGTGGTGTCCACACAGTAAATTCTCTAATGACACTTTGAGGACAGATTCATTCTGGTATCCAGTTAATGTGTCATTTTTAGCCCACTGATTTTGTTGAAGGTATTCCCAGTCCACATCTGACTTTAGAAATTCTTGCAGAAGGCCTTCACTGTTTTGTGACTTTATAATCCAACTTAAAAGGAAGCAGTTACTCACATTAGTATGGGAGTAGGGAGATGAAAGGAACTGTGTGTGAAGATAGTAAGGAATTGGCATCACAGTAGCATATTTAAAAACAACCTAGACAGGTGTAGTGGCGCACACCTGTAATCCTAGCACTCGGGAGGCTGGAGAGGAGGATCACTCTGAGTTCCAGACCAGCCTGAACTACATAGCAAGACCCTCTCTCAGAAACAGACCATATCCTGATTTTTCATTCCCAGATCTAAATTGTGGGGGCTCCAAGAAACTTAAGAGTACATTCTTCAGGAAAAGAAAGTTTCTTTCAACAGATGTCCCGTTGTATCGGGGACCCTGGAGATGTCATATGTCACATGAGACCCACTATACCTCCAGCCCTTAAGAAATTGAAAATGCATATGCGATAATCTCAGTGACCAAGGCTACCCGGACAGCAATTTGTGCTGAGTGTGGAAGCCAGTGGTCACTAAAGAGCATCTCTTGTAACTGTAGAGACCAAAGGTAACTTGTATTACTAAATTCATGATGTGTCAAATGTAGGATTAAAATGTTTATACAACTTTTTTCTTTTCCTAAAGGGTACATACTTTTGTGTGTGTACGTGTGGGGAGGGCAGACTCTTTAATGCCATAATCTGCACACAACCTATTTTTTTAATGTAGAAAATTTTAGGGGTAAAATTTAGCCTGTGGTCAGAATATTTCATTTGTAGTAATCTCAAGGGTTTTTAAAGGTAGATGTAAAGTGGAGCACTGGCGTGGCACCTGTAGTCCCAGTTACTTGAGGCTGAGGCAAGAGGACAGATTGTGCTGTAGGAGTATGTGGCCAGCCTAGGCACCAATGAGAACTCATCTCAAAAGTCAGTTTGGGATAGTAATTAAGGCCTGACCATCTTAGCCCCATATCTCAGGACCTATTCTGTGGACTCTAAAAGAATTTTGGCTTAAGAAATAGCAAGTACCAAACGAGCTTTTCATTTAAGGGTATTCCTTCTGTTAAATTCGTTCCTATTTTCCATATTTGGTTAAGTTTTGGCCTCACATCACAAACCTAAGATTTGGAAATGAGCTGTATGTATCTTAATTGGTGGCTAGGCACTGTGGCAGACATCTATAATCCTACCACTCTGGAAGGCTGATGGAAGATCAAATTCAGTCCCACCTTGGTCAATTTAGTGATTTGGTGAGACCCTGTTTTAAAAAGGGCTGGTGATATAGCTCAGTGCAAAGGCCCTGGCTTCAATCCCGTTCTGGGGAGAAACCTGCTGCCTCCTGGTGGTTAAAACATACCATCCCATAAAGCCTCTGGACAGGCAAGAGCATAAACGATGGCAATAGTAGGTCTAATCTGCCAACAAAAAGCAGAAGTACAAAATACAATTTATCCCATTCTCTGAAACACAGGAAGTTGGTTACTAATAGAAAATTCTGTCCTCTAAGATAACTTAATTAGTGTAAAGGGAGAAAAGCTGGGAACCAAGGCTCAAACATCAATGAAAAGTCAAGATAAAATCCATTTAATCAGTGATGTTCCAGACAGTACCTTTAGCTCCAAGGGAAGCTAATGGGTAGCTCTTCACTACGCCAACCTGGTGAGCGTAGGTTCCCACCAGGTGGGAATTAAGACATCGGTGTTTGCCCAAGAAGTTCTACTTTTGTAAAGAGCAGCTACTTTTGCATCCTCTGTACTGTACATACCTTGGTTGACAAGCTCTCCAATGTACTGACTCTGGAGTCCCTCAGGCAAGGAGGCAAGTTGTGCTTGAACACTACTACACAATGGCCTTTCCCTTGAGAAGAAAATGTGGCTAAGCTGTTGATTCCCAACCAGCATGATAGGAGCTTATCTTCATCATTAGAGCAGCCTATACATTTCCCACTGGAAAAGGAAGGTATTGTCCCAAATGCTTTCACAAATCATCCTGAAGACGCAAGAGTACACATCAGAAAATTGAGGGTTAGAGTAGTCCAATGTCATACGTTTTGAACAGGGTTCAACTTTTAACTCATTTCAAACCCCTTTTTGGCACCACGAGGTTTTGTTTAGTATACAAATGTTATTTCAAAAGCCTGCAAGTTGAAACTAGCATTTTATGTTAACAGAATGTCCCCTATACCTATTATTAAATACTACTGAACTTTGGCCACTAGATGGTGCCTCTAGAAAAAGAATAAAGCATCTTATTTCTGGAGGAGAAAAAAAGAATCATTTGGGCTTGTGGTAACAAGCAGTTGAACACACCATCCCTAAGCCCTAATACTTTTTTTTTTTTTTTTTTTTTTTTTTTTTTTTTTT